ACACTGGGGCAGTGCAGCTCTGCACTCATCCAAAATGGGCTGGTACATTATGGGCACACATTGGTCCCTCCTAAACGTAGAGCACTTTGAGGATGGAAATTGCACCCATGAGGCATGTGTGAACTCATGTTAACTAATTTCAAGCCCAGTCAAACACTGGGAGCTTTCTTGGGTTTGTATTCTGCTTTGGAGAAAGGAGTCGAGAGGTGAGAGAAAAATTATAATAAAAAATATAAATATGTGAATTATACTATACAGAGAGCCCGAACCTGAGCCAGCCTTGGTTTTTTTGAGGGAGGAAGTGGTAGTGATGCAGCATATGATTTTTAAAGGCCAATTACTCAGTCAAATCAGGATCAATTTCCTGCAAAACACTTCAAAGTGCTTCTCCTCAATGAAGGCTACTTTCCTGCCAAAATGTCTGCACCCAGCCATTTAAAGCCTCAAGAAAATTTTGTATGTTTTCACCCTCCCTGCATTCATAATGACTGAACAAGGTTTCCTCAAACTTCCCCACAACATTCAGGCATGGAAAATGTCAGCCCAAAAGGTAAATGTTTGGGAAAATTATGATTAACTAAAACCAGAGGGTACAAATGGAACCTGTTATGCAACCTTAATGACAGCAGCCACTTCTGCTATAAGTCTGACAGCACCCTCAAATTTCATTTTAAAATGACATTTACATTCATGCCTTTATAAAAACCAACAAAGGAAAAGAAAGAAAAATGGAATAAACTAATGAGATATCTAATCAGGGCATATGCAGCTCTTCACTGAAAAGGCACCTGCTGTAGGATTTCCTGTAGGAAGGTGGGTGTTGGAGCATTCCTGCATTCAAATGTAGCTCCTATCACCTCCCCAGTGAGAAACAGCACTAAGGCAGAGCAAGGGAGGCCTGATGTAGCTTTTCAAATTGATGCTGCTTGTGGAGAGGAACAAACAGTTCATCTCCAACTGAGGGGCTGGCTCTTGTCATTTATTCATCTCCAGCCCCCTGCCTGGATGGAAATAAAACTGTTTCAAAGAAAGCTGTGTGGGGGAGCTGGAGGACAGCTTGGAAGCACAGTGAGGTTAGTGCATTAATTTTTTATCTTTGAAGACTAGGTATCTAATTATGCTTAGAATACACAAATGCCGTTGACTGATCTCTCAACTAGAGATTTGTCCACATCACAAGATCTGCCATAGAAATGGGCAAAATTAGCAGATGCCCTGAACTCGTACAGCAGTTGGTTTAACAAGTCAAATCTGCATGTTAGCAGAGCTGTGTGAATGCTCTGGACTGCAGCAGCATTAGCAGAGTGTGTGGCAAGTCCGGACTGGTATTGGAAGAGGTGTCCAGGCACATGAAGTCTGAACAGCATCTTTTCACACTATGTCTGACTTTAGACAGTACTATGAGACCCTAATTTTTCTGAACACTAGAAATCATCCTAATGTTTAAGTTTTAAAAAGCAAAGTGCTACTTAGATGATTCACTCCCATTTAAAAGGAGAAGGTTTGTTCCTTACAGACAGGCACACACCTTTCTGTTCCTTTAGCAATTAAATTAGTTTTACAATACCATATTCATTGAAACATATATTTAAATAGACAGATATCAAGTTAATAAAAATCCCACTTTAGAAATCTTTCAAAATCTGCAGGCGCCAGCTACTCCAAGTCATCCTATAACATTAGGATGAGATGTACATATATTGCAACATGTGTTCAGTGGCAGATTCATGGACTCACCCCGGGCTCGAAGCTCACATCCTGCCAATGCCAAAGAGTGAAGGATGAAGACAGCAGAAGACCAGGTTTGACATGATGTGGAACCATTTTGTTCTATTGTCAGGGTTCAGGTTTGCTTGGTCTTTAAGCAGTTTTCTATAAGTTCTTTTTCATGATTTCAAACCCGGCTGACAAATATTTGCAACATTAGATAACAAGTCTGTATGGGACTAAGGTAAGTTTGGGTCTTGAGGAAGGGACATCCATCCCCCCCTCCTCCCCCCCCCCCATAAGTAAATCAGCTAACACTGCATGGTCACAGCCTGTATTAAAAAGCATAGGCTCCATTGTTTTAGGGGGAAATAGGAGGTCAGAGAAGGTGATTTGGGAAAGGCTGAACTATATGCGAGTGAGGCAGACAACAAAACCCACGAAACAGTGATAAGGAGAGTGAGAAGTTCAGAAGAAATGGAACATTCCACCTGGGCTGGTTGTTGTTCTGTGATACAGACCCATCAGAAGCCAGTCAGTTTAAATTAGGTTGTTCCTATATAAATCTTTTTTTCAGTCCCTGGAACATATATGTAGCCATTCAAGATGGCCTGCGGGTGACTGAGGGCATGGGGACAGAGGAGCGTTGCGAGAGAGATGAGAGACCATCAACTGCTGAGATGGCACCAGTCAGAGGCTCAATAACTGACTCTGGCAGAGGCTCTGCTCCAGAGAGGTTCCTTCTGTGTCAGCAGGGCAGTTGTTACTGCGGATACTGCTGCAAACAGTGACTGAACAGGAGACTTGGTAGTGGTAGAGAGAATAAAATGGCAAGAAGTTCATACTGGAGCAAAGTCTGCCTGAACCTCGCTGCCACAGACCCCACCTCCCATGGCACTGCAAATTCCAAATGGCTGCTTTGGATTTGCTTTGCCTTTTCTAAATTAGGCTGCTTGTATTTCTCTGCCACACTGCTAAGGAAATAATCAGTGCCTGCTATTTACTGTACTTCTGGCCCTTCTCGTCCGTAGGTTGCAGATTAGCTGTTTGAATTAACATCCCCTCCTCCCCCCACAAGCCCACACAGAGAGGATTTTTGAAGCCCAGACCCTGTGACACAGCAGACCTGTCAAATCTAATTCATAACACATGCCCAGGAGTACTAGGGGAAAGGAAGGATCTGATGCTCTGGCTTCCCACCATCCCCATGTACAAAGGGGCCATTTAATGACTGTATATTAGCAACGTGGACAATTAGCATTCACATGGAAGATGGATGGCAGCATAAATTAAATATTGCTAAGTGAAAGAAGGAATATGCAAGAGCTGATCTCCAGGCTGTAAACCAACAAACAGAAAAAGGGAATAAACAGCCAGTCCAGGGATTTGCCTCCCAGCCTACTGTGACTCCCCCCCCGGCACAAATCTCCTGGCACTTTTACGTGGTTTCTGTCCCCACCCTCAGTAGCCACTGATTCTTGGGCAGAGAGAACATTCCACTCAAGGATCTGGATCGCAGAGTGATTTACAAATGCAAAGGGGATGCTTGTGGCATTAAGCTACTCTGTGTTGGGGGCTGCACACCAGGCACCTCTCTCGGAGGCATCACACCTGCCTCAAGCACAATGCCTGCAGGAGCTCGGGAGACGCACAAGTCTGAGCAGCTCTTGCTGCACTCTTTTTCAGAGAGCAGAGTGCGCTCTCCTCCACAATGGCCCAGGTTTGCTGGCTGGCGTGGAATGAAGGAGGTATATCATTCCATCCTTCCCAGCTCCTTTTGTGGAGTTTGGTACCACTCACAGTGCTAACCTCTCCCAGTCCCTGAACCTCAGAACCGCAAGAACTGGGCCTGCCTCTGGCCCCTGTGCCAAGCTGAATGGTGGGGGACAGTGCCCTTCTCGGTTTGCTTATCTGTGCAGGGCTAAGATCAACACAAATTAATTAAGCCTCAAAAGCCCCATCAGGTAGATCAGGATCATAGACCCTATTTCAGACACAGAAAACTGATCTAGAGACAGCATACAAAATAAAGAAACAAAAAACCCTCTCCTACAGCTCCCTGTGAGATATGGCCAGATGGTGATATTCTAAAGCCTGCCAGAACAGTAACTCCATAGAGTAATGGTCAATTCAAGTTTATCAACAACTCAGCAAGTCAAAACTGCTTCTGGACAAGTTAAAACATCTTAGTAAACATGTTAAACATGAAAAGGTGGAGCGGAAAAGTGATAAAAACCTTAGGACTGCCCAACAGGATCAGATCAACCCAACAATGGCCAGTAGTAGATGCTTTGGAGAAAGGGGAACCCCTCCCCATAACCACATGAGACAATTATGGATTATCCTGTTTAAGGGGGAAATGGCTTCCTGGATCCAAGTTTCTTACCGTACACTTATGTCAGGAAGAAAAGAATTTACCCTGTATTTTATTCTGATAAGCATTTCATTCTGTTGTCAATAAATAATAAACAACAATAATAATTACTTTGAACTAAAATGGCATTTTCCATCTAAGGACCTGAAAGTATTTTACAAAAATCAATTAATTTAACCACATGATATCTCTGAGTGGGAGGCAATTATTACTTTGCACACAGGGAAACTGAGGCAGAGGAGGGCTAAGTGATAAAATGACACTAATAAAATATGGATTTCCTGACTCCCAGTCCTGTGCCTTAAAAAGGTTAAAATGGGCTTTCCTGTGCCAGCAAACACACTATCTTCCCCCTACTTTGGTGCTAGGATTCCCAGAGCACAGCCCTTCTGTCCTTTCTTGTGCCATCAGATCTGTGCAGATAATTTTTTAGTCCTTTGATTTTTCCTGATTAATATTTAGAAAGTGGTGTTTAGGGATGTGGGATCATGGGGCATTTGTTGATAATTTTATACCATAAAACTGAGAAGCGAATAAAGATCTTTTCTCAAAGAAAATAGCAGAGGATGCACTGACATGAATGGTGCATTTTATTGATCTCCACACTAACCACTAAGAGGCTGTTTGATGACAGGCAGGTGGGGCTCCCTTCCCTTTCCCCTTGTCATCTCCTCCCCACAGGAGCAGTGATGGAAGAGTGATTTGCTGCAGAGTTAATGCTGAGTTTGAACTGGATTCTTGACTAGCTGAGCTCAGCACCAGGTCAGGCTGAAGTTGATTAGCTCCACTAAACATCCAGATTCCACTCATTCACAAAGAAGCAGAACAATTTTAGCAACTGCTGAAATGCACAGACGAAGGTGGAGGTAACATCCCTGACAAAAAGATTGAAGGGATTACAAAAGCAAACACTACTCACGTTTGTGGTTCTCGTTTCTGTGGACGGGTGGGGAGCGTGTCTCCTGCTCTTGGGCTTCATCCCCCTCTTCGCTGGCAAGGTGAGTGTGAGCATAATGGTAGCTCAGTCCAGGTCTGTTCTTATAACGTTTGCCACAGACTGAGAGGGAAAGAAACATGAGGGAAGGGAGAAGAGAATGGAATATCAGTACCTACAGCAACAGTGAGAATGGCCTTTAATACATCATCCCCCACTAACATCACTGTACATCCTTCTTCTTGTTGTTATCTGAAACTTTGCAAATATAATGCTGATGAAAGATGACAGACTGACAGCCCTCCAGGCTAATGTCCTCTATTTATCCCCAGAACACGTACAGTACACTCAAGCTTCCCTACTCTACACCAGCATTGGTCCTTATCCCTGGCCTGGATGGAGCATCTCTAAGGTTGAGAGGATTGGTCAATCTTCATGGCCCACTCAGTCCTTGACCGGTCCGCTGAGACTGCCAACAAGGTTGTCTGTCAAACTAAATTAAATGACATTTGTGGTGTTGGTGTTTTGTGATATAATGGGCTCTTTGCCAATGGGAATTGGAGTGAGACCAAGCAGCATTGTTTCATGATTACTCACCTCAGGGAGAAGGAACCAATATTACTAACAGCAAGAAAAGAAAAAAATATCTTTAAAAGATCTTCTTTCCCGATTTAAATCCAGACACAAAAGTTAGGAATCACCTACTGCTTCTGGTTCAAAGACCATTCAGCAGTGATGCTTCTATCCTCTACCCCGATAAGCCTCACACTGAGTGGTCCAGTAATAATATCTGTTGTGTGATGGAGAATCCTCCATTAAATTTTGCATGCACTTATTTGGTCATCAAGTCAACAGGCCTTAATAACAGACTCAAACCATTGAGACTCATGAAAGTACTTATGCTCCCATGACACTCTACAATGGGTCGAGCTTTATCACAAGACTCATGATAGCTATAAGTTAAAGTTTTTAATAGGAATTTATTTTTATTCAGGTTATTGCCTGTAAAAACGACAACCCAACCCTTAGCACTTTTCATCTTCAAAGCACTTTATCAAATGTCAACTAATTCTCTTTCAAAGCCATTTTGTGAGCTAAGTCTCATTAGTACAGTTTTACAGATAGGATAACTGAGGCACCAGAAGATAAGGGACAGATCCTGCAAACTCTTACTACCAGACTCAGTACTTACTACTGATTAGTCCACCCATCCCAGGGATTACTCATGGTAGTAAACACTTTGCACAGTACCGTTTGCAGGACTGAGCCCTACGTAACACGGCTAAGACCAGAGAGGCAGTTGGTGTTAGCACTGGGAATAGAACCCAGCAGCTCGTGGCTCTCCATCCAGTTCTTAGGATCAATATTCCCTCTAAGGTGCTTTGATGGTCCGATTCTGAAAATGCCTCTTAACCATGTGATTTGTGTGAATGAAATACACAGTGCAATTTCTAGACAACTTTATTTCACTGTGGCAGGTAGTGCAAAGCAAGGCCAAGCATGGGACTGCAGGCACACCCTGCACAGTCCACCAGTTGTGGTCACAGGCTTGGCATCATTCCATACACAGCACACTAAAAGTAATGAACTCAACCTTTGGCAGTCTGCACCTTTAAATAAACAAACAAAACTCCAAGGCATATGCCTATCTGCAATGCTTGAGGGCAAAGCCCTGGTCTGGCCCTAGGCTATCACGGGGAGCTCGCAGCTCCTCTATTCCAGTCTCACTCTGCACTGCTCAGAGAAGAAACAGGCCTGTTGGCTATTGATGGGTCAGTGTATCCTCCTGGCCCTTCTAGGCTCTCTGAGGGCTATCTTGTTGGTAACCCGATCTGGATTTTCATTGAGCAGGGAGCGTCAGGGGTCCGATGCCTCCTGACAGACCCCACACATTCACCTTCCGCACATGCAGGAATCCAACAATGTTCTAATGCTCAGCAAAAAAGCTCAAAAAGCACTTGTTCGTTTACACGGAGGTAATCAGGTTTCACTATTAAAAACTTTTCTGCTACTTCTCACAAAAAGCAGATGGATGATCCACATTAAGGAGGAGATTATGTGAAATTGTAGACTATAAATTGGTGAAGTAACATTTTAATCTCAACTTGTTCTAACTAATTTGTAAACTCCCTCAGGGAACATACCTGGTCTTAGGTGTTTGTAAAGCATGCTTATCTATAGCATGATATCAATAAGATATCATAATGATAAACATTCTTGTCCTATTTTTCTCCATCCACTATGGTTAAATAACACATGTATAACATTTATGTTGCTTTTGTGTAAATAAAATAAATATATTTAAAAAATTAAAAAGTTAAAGAAATGCCTCGATATGGGCAGGAAACACACAACCTAGGCAGCAGCAGTGCAAGCTTCCTCCATGCTAGCCAGAAAACATGCTTCAGGAGGGACCAGCTCCCAAAGTGAGAGGGGAATTCAGTCTGAAAGACACATCCAGCCCTTGCCCTCTTTGCTGAGAGTTCCAACAAGGGGTTTCAAGTGTGAGGGCCTATTATCCAAGAGACCAGAATTTTTGGTTTTTAATAGGTGGCGATAAAATGCTGATTAATTTTACACTAAAGAGAGGCCATTAACTTGGGTCAGAGTCCATTAACATAGGTGCAAGTCTTGTTAATTTCAGTGGTAATTGTGCCCATGGAACTGAAAGGATTATCAGGCACCAAATGAATAAAACACATCAGATCTAAGGCACAAAGGTATGAAAGAAGGATAAAATGTTAACACTGAAATTCCCAGGAGGCTGGCTGGGTCAGGGGACTGATATGGTCTCTCTCACCTCTAGGTCAGCAGATCCAATCCAGCCCTGGTTGGTAGTTACCAAAAGACACCACTATATTACAGCTGCTTGGTGCACACATGAGAGTACTGCATACATTCCTTGCTGGTATTGTTAAATATTATGTTAAGGCAGAGACTCACTTACCACTGTAAACTCAAATTTAACCCCTTGGTCCTCAAATGAAAAAAAAAAAAGATTCTTTCCTCTTCAAATTTTGCAGGTGTCTTCTGTATTGGTTAAATTTGTGGAGAATTATACAAGCTGTTTCTAAGACATGGGAATCAGAAAAATAGGTGGTGTGTTTTGAAGTCTTTTTTCTTTTTTGTCCATCTCAAAAATGGTTTGTTCTAGAAACTTCAAATTAAATGCGATAAAAAGATCTTAGCAAGACCTAGTGTGCAGGATCAATTCTTGGAGGGGTGGAAGGCAAGTTTGAGAATTTATTCACTATCCAACTGGAATATCAGAACAGCCCATCAACCCTGGTGGGCTTTTGATGGAGTGCCATGTGACTGATGGGAGACCAAAGCTTTTATTTTAAAAAAGTAAGTCTCTATCCCTTTTCCTTGGGGCAACAGACTCCAATATGTAACCTGATCACTAGGAAAATTTGTTATAATTATTTTTAAAAAATAAGAAAAAAATCAAAGCCATCCCCAAGCATTTTTGTATCACGGTTTTAATACATCACTTGCAGCCTTTATTTGTATAAACACCTAATCACCGCAACAGAAGGTGAGATGGGAAGATGGGGGAAATCTAAGTACAAACAACCAAACTCTAGAAAAGTCTGAGTAAAGTCCACTTTTGTTTTAAGTCTCTGTACCTCTTCTTTCATTGCCCAGATCCCATGGCCACTGGTGCACTATAAGAGTCAGACAGAAATACAAGAGAGTCCCCTCCAAATTTAAGTTTTTCACAGCACTAGACCACAGGCTTCCTACAGCCCTTATGAAAAAAGATGAAGGGAAGATGGAAAGATGGCAATTATACACTCACTGTATCAGTACAGACGTTTTCCCAAATTAAAATGCCTACAGCCATAGGCTTCTTAAAACCCTTTAAAAAACACCTTTAATACAAAAATAATACTTACAGTGAAGAAGCAGATATATAGAGGTAGAGTTAAGGTTGTTTGGATGCCTTAAATGTATATATCCAAACTTTAAACTCACTGGGCTGCTTTTAAGTGTAACCTTAACTTTGAATTTCCTATGGAGGGTGAGAGGGGGGCGTTAATAAACAAGACTGCTCATAGGTATATATCCTTTAAGAAATGTCTTTTAGGTCCTTTAAGAAAGGCAACTTTGATCTCCCACCTTTCAGTATGTGCCAGATACGCTTTGATTGCATTTCAGAAGAGGAAAGAACTCCCACCCAGATCTTCCTTCATCCCATATCAGTGGTTCTCAAACTTTTGTACTGGTGATCCCTTTCTAACAGCAAGCCTCTGAGTGAGATCCCCCCCATTATAAATTAAAAACACTTTTTTATATATTTAACACCATTATAAATGCTGGAGGCAAAGCAAGCTTTGGGGTGGAGGCTGACAGCTTGCGACCCCCCATGTAATAACCTTGCCACCCCCTCAGGGGTCCTGACCCCCAGTTTGAGAACCCCTGTCATAGAACATGGGACACACTGGTGATACAAAAATTATTAGGCAGGCAAACAGCAAGAATTCACAACCCTTAACATTTTACACAAACAAGACAAATAGAAAACACTTATTGTTATATTGCTTATAGTAAAAAGAAGTATGATTTTAAAAGATACATTCTTCTAGTTTATATGACTTATTACATACCCTGGAAAAGACAGATGGAGAGATGTTCATAGTAGATTACTTGATTGTTAAATTGATATATCCTGCACTATCCCATTTATGCTCATGTGAATGAAAAGGAAGCTTTAAAAAACAGCTCTAATTTGTTAGTCTCTAAGGTGCCACAAGTACTCCTGTTCTTTTTGCAGATACAGACTAACACGGCTGCTACTCTGAAACCTGACACTATTCTTGTGAGCTACAGATACTATTCACAGACTTCACTACAATATTTTAACTTAACTGTTTTTGCCAGCTATTTGTTGAGCACAGCCTAAGGCTGTACTAAATTCTACAACTGGCGCCTCTTTTCTGTAGCAATCCTTATGATAGGGACAGGGGGGTTTCCAAGGATAGCAGGAGGCAGGGGCATTCCTAGCAATGAAGGAGGCCAGTGAACATTTAAACCAGAGTGTACATGGCCCAGTGGATGCCTTGAGGGGTTGGAGGATCTCAGAGGATCTGCAGGTGTTTGAGGCTGAACCCACATCTTCT